CCTGCTGAAGTGAGCTTTGAGCTGTGGCATTTATCTTCAATCTTGTCTGATTTGACCTACGTGCATTCAGCTGTTTACTGAGTCAAGGCATTGATATATTGGCCTCCTTTAAGCTAATCAGGTGTCTGAAAATAATAGCCCTTTATTTCAGGTTTCTTTATCTGCAGTGAGTATATGCTGTGGTTTCTCTTTGGGGGTTGCCATGGTTATTGTTTGTGTGCAGAACAGAATTGTGCTACCTAGGAAGGTGAGTTTCAGAAACAAATGTGAGAACTGGCCAAACTTGATAGCTACTGTTGGTATTTTAAGCTGGTAAAGGTGTTTGTACATAGAACAGAGACTTTACAAAGGCCTGCTTTAATTTTATTTCATTTTTAAAGAATCATGTTAATAAGATTCACTCCAAGTTACTGACTAATCAAATCAGGCATTTAATTAGAACCTGAGTGTAATCTGACTGCAGCAACATTGTACTTGAATGAAGTACCAATGAAGAAAAAATTGTGTTCACTACATTGCAAAGTGCAACTCTGCTAGGAAAATCAAAGCTGTTAATTATTATGAAGTATTTTAAAATATTTCCATAGCCCTACAAACTCTCATAATTTATCACATTTCTAGGATACTAGGCAAACTCATCCTGTATGTGTTCTTGCTCCTTCACTAGCACTTGTCAGTGTCTATTTGTCATTTCTCTTGAAGACTTTCACATACTTGCACAGCAAAGTATGCCAGAAGTATGTATGTCTGAGGAGAAATTCTCATTCCTCAGGTTACAGTGATGTTGTGTGAATGGTGCTGTGGGACCGTGGCAAATAGTGATGCTAGTGATTGTTACGTGAAGAAATGAGTTGAAAAGGGGACAACCAGAATAGGGCTCATGTGTGTTCTTGTTCACTATGATGTCCCTGGAGTGATAATCAGCATAAGAACATGCGTTCAAATATTAACCTTTCAGACATCATTAGCAGTAGTTTTTGAAAAGGTTAGCTACAGCTGTAGCACAGAGATGTTAAATTCATCACCTTTGGAGCTCTCTAATGCTGGGATTTTGCATTTCATAGGAAGCAAGGCTTCTGAAGGAAAAATTGATAAGGAATGAAAGGGTTAGGTTTCTCATAGAAAACACTGTAGAAACGTTATGGAATAGTAAGACTTGGTGCATTATGTGGGTTCTGCATGAGCCTTGGGAGAATGTGTTTGCTTGCTGAAGCAGCAGGTGTGATGTCCTGCAGCTTGGAAAGCTTAACTGAGGCTATGATCACTCAATACCTACGCCTTCCCCAGGTTTATTTGGAGAATGATAGCCTCAACATTTATGTTGCAGTGAAGAATATCCTAAGCATTGCAACAAGTAATGATAGTAATGTTCATTTGCTCATTAAATGTAACACTGAGAGGAAAGAGCAGTAAGTTCCCATTATATATAAGGGAATACACATTTTTCTTTCTTTTTATTCTTTGTAGTTAGCAGTCCTATTTGAAAGTAGTCTGAAGGGGGATGCCTGAGGAATCATTCTACTTTCCGGATAAAGATCTATTAGCTGTTCAAATACCCTGAGAAGTGCCGTATGCCTCATCTGACTGCTGTTATGTTAGAAATCATCCTTCTGCTGGGAGAACGTGATTGCATCAACAGCAGAAGTAACTATAGGTTGAGACATGCCATCACTTTCGTCATTCCTTGCACTGAATGCATGTTGCCTGGAGCCCAGGTGCAGGCCCCATTTCAGGAAACGTTTTATACCATAGTCTTAATAGAAAAATTATCTTTCCTTAAGTGCCAGATATGCACCACTGTGGATGAAACTGGGAGCTTCTGAGTATATTAGCTCATTTAAAGCCTGCAAAACAATTTTCTCTTGGCCTCTATTACCAGATGCTGACGCTATATGCTATACACCAAATATTTGTCTAGTGTGATAGTGTGACTTCAGAATGCCTTTTGCTGAAACACTAACCCATGGACATCATCCAGGAACAAAATAAGGCTGCATCCAATGTACTTTGAAACAGTGAATTATTACTTGCTTGTTCTGGTTTCCCAGGGAGGAGAGCATGGTGCAAGAGTTAGTGTGGACTGGAGACCATCCCCAGTGACTAGGTTGATGCGACTGTTCTGTTTTGAGGTTTAGTGAACATTACATGTATGGAGGTGATCAGACTCTGCCAGTTGGCCTCATGCCACCTGTGGCCCTGGTGTTCTTTATTCTGCAAGTAGATACCTAGCCAGTGGCATGATTTGTTCTCTGAGTCTCTTTGGAATATTCATGTTTATATTTGAAATTGAAAGAGTTGATTAATTTTAGCTTTATACAACTGGTGGTTGGTTGGGGTTTTTTTCTTTTTAAGCTGATGTTTAACAATTTGAGCATTCCTCTTGCATTATATCAACTTCACTTTGAGTTGCCAAATTGTAGTGCAAAATCACTCCTCTTCATTCTTGGTATGGGAGGTAGTCAACTGAATCTGACTATTTGCATTGAGATTACAAGCAGTAAGCTTATACCCAATATCATCTTCACTGGAAGGTCATCAGCAGTTACATACTGTTTCTGGAGCAGCTGTCAACCTGTTACATTTAACTGGATCTTGAGGGGGAAATGTCATCTTGCCATCTCCTAAGCCATGTTGTTTCTATTCTGAAGAGCTGCTAGAGGAAGTGGATGCTTCTGACCTGGGCAGAGCCCTAGAAATTCTCCTGTATGTGTCTGTTGGCTTAAAGTCAAAACCTGTTGTGATTCAGAAGTGCACAGAAACAAAAATAGCAGTATATGACTCCTTTTTTTTTTTCTGATCTTTAGGTACTTCCTTTCCCCAGTCAGGTGGTCTACAACAGAGTTGGAAAGTGTGGGAGTCGAACTGTGGTTTTGCTTTTGAGAATTTTATCAGAGAAACATGGTTTCAACCTGGTTACATCTGACATACATAACAAAACAAGACTGACCAAAAATGAACAGGTAAGTTACTCCCACTCATCTTAGATCCTGTTTTCCTATTATGTTTATGAAACTGAGGACAAAAAGTATATGCTAGCAGAAATCCTATTGAAAAGATTTATTGCTGCTTTGACCTGAGTAATCATCCAGAATTCATCATTCTCTAAGTGACTTCAGTTAATAGAAGAAATGGATGGTAGAGCCAAGAAGAATGTGATGTGGAAGCTAACCAGAAAAAATACCTACCAGTGAGCCAGCTCTTAAATTTAGTCAGCATAGCAGTTTGAGTACCAGTAAGACAAGAAAGGTTCATATATGTGAAGTTAAGTGCTAACAGCATCTGGGACATGTATTAATTTATCTGCAGGGCACAGACATTTATCATATAACCAGGCCAGCTTATTCAGACTTAGCTTAGGTCTCCTTAAGCAGAGCAGGAGGAAATAATAGCCAACACTTCGTTAATTCACTTCTAGTAATCAGTTGCTTCAAAACGTTGTTTCCCAGGGCCGTGCTAACCCATATTGCTATAATCTGACATGTTCTTGATCCTACTCAGCTGCTTTCTTATCTGCCTTTTTCGTGTTATTGCACAACCCTCACTAAGGCAAGTAAATATACCACATGAAACCTCTTCACCCGTTTTTCATATTTCCTTAAAGTTGTAGAAGGCATTATTTTAACAGCTTTGATTCTGTAAAAGATCTATTTATTTTAATTTCTTTCTATTCAGGATAGCCATGTGTCCTAAGTATCACTCCCATCAGTAGATATTGATACAAGTAATGTCAAAAAACCTCTGACTCCAAAACATACGTATGTAGTCAGATGATGCACACGTTGCCTGCCACTGCTATTTTGAACTGCTGATCAGGAAAAAGCTGCAATAATTGGCTGCTTGCAGGAATAGCAGCCTGCAAACCACAAAAGCATGTGTGTGATGGTCAAAATACAGATGTGGGCCTGCAAGTGGCATTGTGGTGTGATTGAGGGTCATTTATTTGTAGCCTGTTTATGAGCACAAGTTGATTATTTTAGATACAGCAATTCATTCTAAATGAAAATTTAGGCACAGATACTGCTCCTACAGGTCCCACTGTCCTCCCTTTCAAGGTGTCCATCAGGGTCCCACTGGCAGCTGTCTCACCTAACCCCACATGACACTCAAGTTCAGCTTGAGGTAGGGATCAGCTGACCAAGGCTGCCACACTAGCCTAAAGGTTTCTTTTGTGTGCGATTGGGTGTGACATGCTAGTAAAAGGCTGTGGTGGAGGACAGCGTCCCCTCACTGCTGCTTATGGCCAAGGGAAGGCCTGGGCTGCAGCTGCTGCAGCATCCTTCAGTTTTTCAGCTGAACTGTAGGATATGGGATAGGAGATTTCTTTGGGTATGACTACTTTTGTGTTTCAGGTTGTTTGGGTTTTGTTTGTCTATAGCTTTCATTGATTTTCACTGCTGATTGGGAGACACATCATAAAATCCAAAAGCCTTTCAGGTATAAATAATCACCAGCTTTCACCCTCATCAGCTATTTCCTTTCAGTTCTATTCTGTCTTTCTCCGGTAGGTGGATTGTCCTTTGTTAAAACATGATACAAGATCAAATCTTAACAGTCTTCTGTGGTTTAGTCCAGCATGTGTAGATTCCAGAAAGACCCAGACTACTTTTGGTGCAACCAATACACTGACAGAGTGTAACTATTTGCGTTACCTTTTGCGCTTCTAAAGCTGTTGGGTTACTAGACAGCAAATGTGCTGGAAGTATTGCTACAGAGCCGATGACTTACTCTATAGATTGTCCTGCTAGAACATAAGTCTCTTTTTTTTTTGTTTATGGTTTATTTACATAGTACAATAGCTTCATAATTTAATAAGTACAATACACTGACAGAGTGTAACTATTTGCGTTACCTTTTGCGCTTCTAAAGCTGTTGGGTTACTAGACAGCAAATGTGCTGGAAGTATTGCTACAGAGCCGATGACTTACTCTATAGATTGTCCTGCTAGAACATAAGTCTCTTTTTTTTTTGTTTATGGTTTATTTACATAGTACAATAGCTTCATAATTTAATAAGTACTTTTGCTGAAAAGTTGATCAGCATTTTACATGCCCGGAAACAGTAACTGTTCTGTTGTTCAGGGCATTTTTAGTTGTCTTCTCAATTTTTATGAGCAGAATATGAAAAAGAATTTTTTTCCACCTTTAATGTGGTGTACACAAGAGGAAGTTAAGAGAATGGATGATCTCAGGCTCCAGGCATTGGAACAAGAAAAAAGGAAGCTGGGCTGGGCTGTAGGCTTCCAGCATGAGCATGGGCTTCTCGCTCTAGATGATGTCTCTCTCCCTTCTCTCATTTGTCTGTCCTGTGTTTGGTTAAAGCCCTGATCCAGCCAAGACTTCTGTAAATATTTAGCTTATGCAGTCTGCTGTTGTTAAATAAAGTTAAGCATGTAGGTGTTCTTAATGACTGGGAATTGCACATAACTGGAATCCATATTCTAATTGCCTTTTTCAGTCTCCTTCCTACTAAGAATTTTTCCCAAACTGTGTGTGCCTGCCAACAATTAGAAGTGCAGCCTTTGAACATCTGTGGGCATAAGGGAGTGAATTCTGGAAACAGATGTGTTAATATGTGTCTTACCATTTGCTAGAATATTTCCAAGTAGATTAAATAGAGAAAATAATATGTAGGATTAAAGTTAATCTAATTGTTGTGGTTTTAAAATGCCACACGGAGTGCTGCAAAATGAAATTTTCCCTTACTTTGTGTCCCACCCCCCATTTTCTTGCATTTGGGGATGTAAGAATGAGTATGCTTATAGGTATACAAATCCCTGTCACATACAGGAGCAACTGGTAATTTATCCTAATATTGTTTCCTTCTGCCATCCATCCTTGTGGTTGTGCAGCCAACTTTACATGTAATTCCAGTTCAACACACTAAAAATCCATTACTAATTTTCATTAAATCCTTCTAAAGACAGAAAATTGGTCATACCAGCTTGAGGAGGTGAAGAAATTCTTGAAACTGTTCCAAACTTTTGAGAGCTGAAAATGAAGATCTAGTCTTATTCCTGAGAGTTGTGAGTTGTTAGTGAAAATGAATAGAGGTGAAAGTGGTATACCAAAAATCCTGTAGATACTTGTGCCTCCTGAGCCCTACATGCCTTCTGTAGGGACTGAAAGCAAGTAGGAAGGTAAAGAATTCTCAAGAAAGATACAGAGATTTTTTTTCTTGTCTTGTGTCAATGGTAGTGGAGGCCATAGTGTGATCCAGGAGAGCTCGCTTGGAAAATCCCAGTTGCCTCACCAATCTTATTCATTTTGACCTTGAATTCTCCCAGTGAAATACAGCATCTTACAGAAAGTAGTAACATTTTGGATGTTGTCTGGGTGTGATTATTATCTGATTATTTCTTCTTGTTCCCAGTAGAATTTACTTCCTGCAATTCTCAAATAAAACGGCACTGCTCTGAGCAGTCAGTGGAGGGACTGGTCTTTTGCTCAGGAGGGAAATTTGTCCTCTCTTGAAGGCTGGAGTTGAGTTTTTGTGCAGGAAGAATGCTGTGGCTGTAGAAAATCCATCCCTCCTATTTCCGAGGGGCCCATCCAGCCCTCCTGGTGTCACTTCACGGTGCCATCTGCTGGAGTGTTATTTGTGATGCAACACTGGCCCAGGACAAGGACTAAAGATGCTGAGCAATTACAGTGTGATTTCTTCCTTGTGGCCAACTGATAACCACAGTGTAGGCAGTGTAGGACAGTAGACTAAGGAAAAACCTTTCCTCTTGGACTATTGTCTCTTGGTGTTCTTGCTCAAATGGGCTTTAAGATTCAAAAATAGCTTGTGACTTACAGAATTGCCTGTTTGTGGCTCTGGTCTTCTTTCAAGGGCCTGATTAAATGTCAGTGCAGAAAATGAATTAAGGAGAAAAAAATTAGAATAAAAGCTTAAACATGGAGTCTCAGTGATAGAAAGATGTTATTCTAGGAAGCAAATCAACATTTAGGCTAAAGACTCTATTCCTTAAAATTAAGTGGTGTTTGAGGTGGATGGATAGAATGACAGCAAATGTGTGTTGACCACACCACAGAGGTCTTGACACCTGCTTGTTGCATCTCTGCAGACCCCAGCCATACATTGTGCATGCTCCCCTTTCCTTGGGGAGCACAGTGCACCCATTGCTTTTGGTTCACTTCCACACACACCCTTCATATTAATCATAGGATATTAAGGGTTTGGAATGGACCTTGAAGATCATCTAGGCCCAGCCTCCCCTGCCATAAGCAGGGATGAATCCTGGCATTTCCCTCTCCCTGGATCCTTCTTTAGAAGCATTAACTCTGTGGAGCAGTTTAGTTAATTTCAAGAGCAAATTAGTGTATTTTTCAGCACTGTTTCACTGAAACTGCTGAAGTCCTGCAGTAGAACTCTGGGCAGCAGTGAGAAAGAGGAATGGCTCTTTATGGGCCCTTATGCTAGCAGGTGTGTGCTCCTTTCAACTTCCCCAGGTATTTCTACAGCCTCTCCCTCCAGCCATGAATGTGTTTTCCTTCATCTCTCCCCTAACAGTGTTTGCCAGGGTAGTTTGTCTTCTGGTCTTGTGCCTTTTCATTTCTTTTCAAACTTAGGGTGACCCTAGATCGTCTCTACTTGTATGTAACTCTCTTTCCTCACTCATTCCGTCCAAAAGTACTTCTTTTCCTCAGCTCTCATCCTCTGCTCACTGTTCAATAAAACAAAACAAACCCACCCAACCAACCAAACCCACCCAACCACTCAAAACCACTAGAGACCTTACTTTTTTGTGAGATATAGGAAGATTTTTCTTTTTTTTCTTTAACATCATCTTAAAAGGAGGACTGGATCACTAGATATTCCTGAGCAATACAGTACTTCTTTTCCTCAGCTCTCATCCTCTGCTCACTGTTCAATAAAACAAAACAAACCCACCCAACCAACCAAACCCACCCAACCACTCAAAACCACTAGAGACCTTACTTTTTTGTGAGATATAGGAAGATTTTTCTTTTTTTTCTTTAACATCATCTTAAAAGGAGGACTGGATCACTAGATATTCCTGAGCAATACATTTGGTAGACTGAAATTAGCACAGTGGGATCAGAGAGGCAGGCCCATGGGAAATGTGGCCACAATTTGCATGTGGCCATGAGCCATTACAGTTATTTATTTTTCCCTCCTGACATCTGTGTGTTGTTTCAGTTGAGCCTTACTTACCCTTTTGGCAAGGTTTTTAAAAGAATGGGTTTTGCTTGTTTGTTCTTATTATCCACATCTGCTTACAAGTCCAGTTGATCATTAAGTGTCTAAATATGAAGGTACTTTAACTCAAAACAAAATTCTGTGTCTGCTTTGGAGTAAGCTATTATCATAACTCAAGAGATTGAGGTTCATAGCAAGAGATTACAAAAAAAGGTAGGAGCCAGATGCTGTCCTGCTCTGTGTGCATCTTTCCAGTCTCCCTTTGCTCCTGCCTGAGGTCGAGATGCCTGTACTTCTCCAGCAGCAGTTTGATGTGAGCCTGACACTAACATCATATGAAGTGCAGTGAGAAACGCAGCAGTGGTGTAATGTGAATCTGCCTGGTCATAGCAAATTGGTGCTGGCCCTGGAGAGAGCTGAGGGCCAAGGGAGGCTTATCTCTTATTCTCTTATCTCTTTTTTCCTAGCTTATAAATTGTTGTTACTTTCTACTACCCAGTTTGTAAAATCAACAAACCTGTCATTTCAAATGCATTTGTGTTCAGTGTCCTTAAGCATAGCCTGCATTTAAACACAGAACATAAAATAAATCTTAGGACATTGATAAGAAGGAAGCAAAATTAATTGAAACATCTTGATTTCTCTATCATGATGCTTCACTAGACGCTTTCAGTTTGCTGTAAATCACAGCTAGAGCTCAGCTTACTCAAAATAGATGTTCATATCCATGGTGCTGTTTACATTATTCCATTGTAATGATCTGAAAATTTCAATTATTTATTTTTTTAAAACTATCTGAATGTGCCTGAACTAGAGTTTAGCATCATCTTTCTAAAAGTGCCCATTTAATTTGTACTCTTAATTGGCTGTAATAGCCAAAGGAATGGCAAGTGCTGATTTCTATATTTGAGCAGGCGAATCAATCAGTATTTTGGCTCTGCCAGCAGTTTTTATTGTTAAATGGAAATGGTCCTCGGCTCAGCTCCCACTTTGTTACAGTTTCAGACATCTTACGTTTTTGGCATTGGTGTGAATAGGGGTAATGTTTTCAGAGGGCAGCTGCTACTTGCAAAGCTCTGGTACAGATTTAGGCAGACTTTAGAGTTCTGCTTTAGTTTATGCCTTTCCTTAAGCTGATACCCACTTGTGGAAGTACACAAGCTCCATGATAGCAGGATGGTCTCTGCAGCTTACCCTTTCTTGCCTAGGTATAAAATAGTAGTCATGCTATCTTGATGACTGTGTTGGAGGGTTAGTGGGGAAGGAGGTCCTGAGTAGTTCAGACTCGAAAATTATATCATCATATGTTGTTTGAAAGTTGTATTTGTCTCAAAATGTACATTGACATAACATGGAAAATTTGGTTTGTTAATTCTTTTTAGATGGAATTGATTAAAAACATAAGCACTGCTGAGCAGCCCTATTTATTCACTAGACATGTTCATTTCCTCAACTTCTCAAGGTAAGGCATTTTTTTAGTCAAAAATTTTTTTCATTAATTTTTATTAATTGTAATACATATAAAATTTTCCCTCTTTTACACATAAACAATACAATGTACTTTTTTTCTCTTCTTTCTGGTACTGGAAGTCACGTTCAGGAGTTGGGTTGGGTTTTTTTCTCTGCACTCAGTTAGGTATAGAATAGTTGTGTATAATATGTTTGTGAAAAACTCGGATCCTGTTGTATGCTTTTGCCTCTCAGATTTTCTTGAGGTACAGTGTTTGCAGTCAACATGCAAGAGATGGTAACTTGGGTCTTTAAACTGTGCACTTGTGTTTTAAAAGTGGCAGCACACTTCTGTTAATGTTTCATCTTCATATAGCCAGATACTAATATGAGATTGAAAACTGCACTGAGTTGATTAATTTTGTACCTGCAGTGACTCTTCACTAATTTAACCAATTTAATTTTGCCCTGACAAAATAGCCCCCATTCCACAGGCTACAGAACTATTTATAAACCATGCAAACACTCTTTACTCTGTATCACGGGAGTGCAGTTTCCTCTGGCAACTATTTAAAAGTATGCAGCAACACTCTAGAGACATTTATAGCATGGAATGTGAAGAAAATTCGATTTAGATGAAACCTCTGAGGAATTTTTGGCAGGACTTGAATGAGTGATGCCAGTTAGCATTTAGCCAGGACACAGAGGTTAAAGCTGACTGCAAATGGTTATTGCCCAGGCTGTAAATTTAATCTGAAAATGATATTCAGGAATCATGCCATCTGTGCCACCGGGTTGGATTCCTTGTATTTAGATTTTTAAAAAAAAATGTAGAAGTATGAATTTATTGCAGAGCTTTGCAGGAGCTTGCCTATCTTCCCAGCATTTTGTTTACATGGTAATGTGAGTATACGGCTTCAAGCTTCAGTAGGTAGTGTAGTAAGAAATTATAAAATTGAGGGAGAGGAGGGGGCTAGTTTTGTTTTATTAGAAAAATATATATTTTGAGCAACTGGAAATTCTCTTGATATAGAATTTAATTATGAGCATGATTTTGTTACATGGAGACAAGAAGAGTTAAACAAAATTTTGATCTTCTGTGTTCTCTCTTCTGATTACATGAGAGTTCCATTTCTAATGTATTATCTCTAAAGAATGAAAATCATTAGGACTTCACACCTTTGGTAAATGATCTCTTCTCTCTTCTGAACTGCAAGATCAAACAAGTAACCACACCTGAGGGTCAAAGGGTTTTTTCTTGATTAGACTGATTTTTCAGTCAACATTATGTACATGAGAAAAAGATGAACGTTCTTATCTCTTGCTCCTCCCTAGATCCCATTTTCTATAGCTATGATGCATCCTTGCAACATAGGTACCATGCATCTTCTGTAGTGTATACATGATGTATATGCAATGTATATGCAAGTTTGTGAAAATACATAAAAGTTATAGAAGATATATAAATTATTTGCAGCTTCCTTTTTGGCTGTTCCTTGCAAATCTGAAAAGCATGTTTTTTGGTTTGTTGAGTGTGCTTGATTTAACCAGTAGGTGTAGAGTAGTGAAAAGGTTGAGGAGTCTTTTAAATCAGACAGTATGAAATTGCATCGACATTGCTTACTACTGGTTTAGCATTGCCTAGCCTTTTCTGATAAATTAGACATTTGTAAAAGTTTTAGTCTCTAGTTTCAAAATTTATTGGCAGTGTTATGCCTAACAGTGAAGCAGCATGCTGAGTATTTTCTTAATTCTTAATTCTAGGGTGATTTTTTTTAAACTGATTTCATTAGGAAATGGAGTGTCAAGTATTGACTTTGAAGAAATTTCAAGATGTGATTTAAGTACACATTATAAATATTACAGTATTGTGAAAGTGTTCTAGTTTTGCTTGATTTCTTTAAACTATTTCTTTATAGACTATCTCTAGTGGATAGCTGAACTCAGATTGTCTATGGAATACAGTTCTTTCTGTTTGCCCCAGCTTTTCTGCCAGCTCAACATAAAAGCCATGCAAAACTCCACAGACTAAAAGAAAGGAGGTCAGGGGATTGATGTGGTGTTTTCTGGCTGACAGCTGGAGACCTTAAGCAACAGCTTGCCATGAACACCCAGTGCAATGAGGAGCAGGACAGATGCACAGGGATAGGTAGGAGGCAACAGACTCCTGACTGCAGGCTTAGGACAGCTTCAGATCTGTGAAAGGCTCAAAGATCAGCTTGAAGAGCCCTACTTTGGTGAAGCTCCATGCTCTTTCCCAAGGAAAGGGATGAGACTTTCTACATGTCGCTGCAGCAAAGCTGTCACTGAAGTTCATGAATTTTTGCAGGAGCAGCTGTTCTGGGCATTAGTCCAGTGACCCAGTTCACTTGTCTTGTTTGGCATTTTATATCTTTGAAACCAAGCTTTTATTCACAGGAGCGGATAAAGAACACTTTATTCTCCTTCCTCCTGCATATATCAAGCTGACAGACAGGTAGGAGTTAGAACACATGTTATCTTTGCTGCTCTTTTGGTAGGTCACATTTGGAATAATAGAAGTCTGTTCCATGAGCCTTGCACCTCTCTCCCCTGAGCCTTATTTTATCCAAGCTAAACAACCCCAGCTCCCTCAGCTACTTCTCATGTGGCTTATACTCTAGACCCTTCACCAGCTCATTGCCCTTCTTTGGACTCACTACAGCACCTCCATGTCTTTCTTGTAGTGAGGGGCCTAAGACTGGACTGAGTTGTGGCCTCGCCCTTGCCAAGTAGAGGGAAAGATCACTGCCCTCATCCTGCTGGCCACACTATTGCTGATACAGGCCAGGATGCCATTGGCCTTCTTGGCTACCTAGGCACACTGCTGGCTTATGTTCAGACACTGAGGATGAGCATGCACAGGTCCTTTTCCCCTGGGCAACTTCTCAGCCACTCTTCCCTGAGCCTGTAGTGCTACATGGGGTTGTTGTGACTGAAGTGTGACACCCAGCACTTTGCCTTGTTCAACATCATACAATTGATCTCAGGCCATCAATCCAGCCTGCCCAGGTCCTTCTGCAGCGCCTTCCTACTTCAGCAGATCAACATTCCCACCCAACTTAAGTGTCATCTACAGTTAAGTACCTCAGCCTTTTTCTCATCCTTGTTGGTGCTTCTCAGCTTCCCAAGCAATAGTAAGAAAAGTAAACTTGATTTTTGTTTAACGTTGCAGATATGAATAGCAGCAATGACAAATCACTTGGATTTCCCCACTTTATAACCTGTACCTGCTTATAAAGCTGTTAGCACTTAAAGCTCTCTGGCTATTCAGAAAAGCATCACAACATTTACTTATGATTGTTTCCAATTGGAAAAAAAAGGGTTATATCTTCTTTCCAGAATAAATTTCCAGTGGAAGTGAGCTAAGCCTTCAGTAGCTAGTTTGAGTGCATGCATGTTTCTGAAGTTCCATAAGCTTTGCTGAACAAAGTTCTAAGCACTTGAAAATCTCATCCTGACCTGAATGCTTGCCAGGGCCATTTTCCTCTCATTTTTTAACAGTGTTTTAAGGGTGCCTGTTGACTCAGCTGCATAAATGAATCCTCGTTTACTCTACAATAGCTTCACTTTTGGTTCTTTTCTCAATCCAAAGTAGTGCAGAGACAGACAGAATCACAGGATATTTGGAGCTGGAAGGGACCCATGAAGATCATCAAGTCTAACTCTTGGCCCTGCAAAGGGCATCCCTGAGAATCACACCATGTGCCTGAGAGCATTATCCAAATGGTTTTTGAACTCTGTCAGGCTTGATGCTGTGGCCACTTCCCTGAGGAGCTGTTCTCGTGCCCAGCCACCCTCTGGGTGAAGAATCTTTTTCTAATATCTAACCTTTTATAATACGTAACCTTAACCCTGATGCAACTTCAGGCCATTCCCCTGGGTCTTGTCACTGGTTCACAGAGAGAAGAAATCAGTGCCTGCTCCTCCACTTCCCCTCGTGAGGAAGCTGTAGACAGGGCTGAGGTCTACCCTCAGTCTCCGCCAGGCTGAAGAGACCAAGTGACCTCTGTTGCTCCTCATATAACTTCGCCTCAAGACCCTTCACCATCTTCATTGCCCTCCTTTGGATGCTCTCTAATAGCTTTCTATCTTTCTTATATTGTGGTGCCCAAAGCTCCACACAATATTCAAGGTGAGAAAGCATCAGCACAGAGTAGAGCAGGACAATCACCTCCCTCGATCAGCTGGCAATACCTTGCCTGATGCACCCCAGGACACAGTTGTCTGTCCTAGCTGCCAGGGGACACTGTTGACTCATACTCAATTTGCCATCAACGAGGACACACAGGTCCCTTTCCATGGCACTGCTTTCCAGCATCTCATTCCCCAGTCTGTATGTACAACCCAGGGTTGCCCCATCCCAGGTGCAGTGTCTGGCACTTGCCCTTGTTAAACGTCATACGGTTGGTGACTGCCCAGCTCTCTAATTTGTCTAGGTCTCTCTGCAAGGCCTCACTGCCTTTGAGGGAGTCAACAACTCCTCCCAATTTTGTGTCATCTGCAAACTTGCTTAGTATTCCTTCAAGCCCTGCATCCAAGTGATTTTTGAAGATGTTAAAGAGCACTGGGCCTAAGATGGAGCCCTGCAGAACCCACTAGTGATCAATCACCAGCCTGATGCAATCCCATTTTCACTATAACCCTTTGCATCCAACCTGTAAGCCAGTTACTCACTCATCTCATGATGTGTTTATCCAGTCAAAAAGACAGATTTTAAAAGGGCCACACTAAAGCAAATCTTATGTGATTTTTTGCAGACATAAACCTAATTAATTTCAGCTTCAAAGAGGAGATAAGAAACTTTCTTGCTCTTCTTTGATGTTAGTGAATTTCTATAGCACTTGTCAGAGAGAAAGCTTCTATTCCAGAAGTTTTGCAGCTTCTGTTCCTAGTCTCTCCAGTGCCATTAGGGCTAGCTCTGGGAGATGACCCAGTGCCTTTGGAGGGTGGCTACTCCATCCAGTCTGTTTCTGGACTGTTTCTTTTGTGGAA